AGGCTGGCTACTGATCCATTTAACTGGGAGGGACAGAAGCAAAAGGCTTGTAGGACAGAATGACAGCCGCTGAGAAGACACTGGTGGGCAGAGAGTGTTTCTCAAACTGAGTAGTGCTCAGATGCTTTTGAAAGACGAGAGTTCCCACAGTCCCCAAGGTAATCTTTCAACCCGCAGGGTTCCAGGGACCCAGACTGGAGAAACAATGACTTAAGAAACTAAACTCCTATTGTAGAAAAATATCTTTCAAATGATACTATCCCTGCAAGAGAAGATAGCATTTATAATTGACAAATTTTGTATTTTAATTGTATAAATTAAAAAAAAAAAGTTTAATTGACCCTACAAGACACGTCCTGAGGACCAAGGTGTCCAGGGCCGAAGTCCACAAGAATTTGAGTGGGGGAGCCAGTACCCACCACGCCCCAACTCCACCACTTCCTAACCACCGCCTGACCTTGGGCAGGTGGCCCAGCCCCGTCCATGGGACCTGTGCTTCACCTCAGAGAGCGGTGTGGGGACTGCCAGGCTTGGCACAGCACCTGGGATTCCATGGGGGGCTGCCATTCACTGCCCAGCCACCCCAGGAAACATCGCAATTGCGACACTGAATGAAGCAGTGGCACAGGGCAGGTGTCTACGGATCCTTCAGAGAGTCCGAGAGATGTCTCAAGTCCACGGCAGGCAGCAAAGCCAACTGCAGATTTTAATACAAGAGGATGGATTCGACCTCAGGAGTGTGGCCAACACCCAGTGGGAGAACATGAGCAGGGGGCCTCTGATGGGAGACGCCCAGCTGGAAGGCAGCACCAGGCCCTGGGGACAGCCTCAGGGAAGCCGGGGAGAGAGCCAGGCTCCAGCTGCCCACGCGAGTGCCCGAGGGAAGTGTACGTGAGGGCCAGGACTGGGAGGTGGCTGATTGAGGCTGGTGAGAACGGGGGACCCTGTCCGCCAAACCATGAAGAAGGCAGAAGGAGGTCAGGTGCGGGTGGGGACGAAAGGAAGAGTGGGGAGAGGAAATCTGTGGCAGTACCGTGAAGAACAGGGGTAATCTTAAGTGTATTTACTAGCCATAATACGTATAAGAAAAGCCGCCAGGACTGGAGGAATGTGGCGAGGCGAGGGGGTGAGGAGGACAACCCTGAGGCCCGACTTTGGTTCCAAAGCACCGGCCCCC